TCAAAATAAAGCGTCCGCATCGGAGGTGGCAGTGGGCAGTGGGCGGGGCCCCCGCCGGGGCGCTGGGGGCGCGGGGGTGCTCGGGGGCCCCACTCTGGCGCTGCGGGCGCGGGGGGGGAAGGAGGGTGAGCGACGCGGAATAAAGCGTTCGTGGCGGAGGGGGCAGCGGGCGGGGCCCCCGCTGGGGAGTTGGGGGCGCGGGGGTGCTCGGGGCAGGGAGCCGCGACGCGGGGGGCCCGCTCTGACGCTGGGGGCGCGGGGGCGGGGGGGGGGGCGCGGAACAATTGGCGCGCGTGCCATGGCTCTTGCACGGAAGGGAAGAGGGGGAGCAGGTGAAGGAGGAGGACGGGAGAGGGACGCAGGGCGCGAGAAATCGGAGACGGGGAGCCCAACGAGGGCCACAAGATGGGCTTGACAGGGCGAGCGCGAGTAGGCTCCACGCCCCTCCCCCCCCGCGAGATGGCCTCCAAGACTTTCAACATGCCCCCCATAGGGGGCCTCCAACACACCCAACAAGTCGGCCGAGGACCCGAAGAACTCCCCAGTGGTTTGAAACGGAGGCAGAAGGGGGCACGCGGCGTTCCACTGGGCCGTTGGGGAATGGGCCGTTGGGGAATGGGGGGATGGGGGACGGGGGCGGGGCGCGCCATGCGACGCGACATAAAATGGTCGGGGCGGAGGAGAAGACTGGGCGGACGTTCCATTGGGCCGCTGGGGAAAGCTGAAGAGAGAAAGGATAGGGGGCGGGAAGGAGGGGCGCGGTGCGACGCGGAATGCAATTATCGGTGCGGAGGAGGCGTTAGGCTGTGGTTCCATTGGGCCGCTGGGGAAGCGCCGGGGCGGGGGGGGGGCGGCGGGGGAAGGGGGGGCGCGGCGGAGCGGGGCAAGAAGTGACGCGCAATAACGCGGTCGGGGTGGAGGGGCGGAGGCATTGGGCGGAGGTTCCGCTGGGCCGCTGAACGCTGGGGTGGGGGGCGTGGGAAGGGAGGGGCGGTGAATGAGGGAAAAGATGCGGCGGAACGCTGGCGGGGGGTGGGGCAGCGGGGGGGGGTCGGCGGGGAAGGGGAGAGCGCGGTGCGACGCGGAATAAAATGGTCGGGGCGGAGCGGGCACTGGACAGAGGTTCCACTGGGCCGTTGGGGAACGCTGGGGGAGGGGTAGGAGGGGGCGGGGGCGGGGGGGGCGCGGTGCGACGAGGAATAAAATGGTCGGGGCGGAGGGGGCGCTGGGAATTCCATTGGGCGCGCCGGGGAGGGGCAGGAGGGGCGCGACGTGGGGGGGGCGAGGTGCGATGCGAAGTTGAATTGTTGGGGCGGAGGGGGCACTGGGCGAAGGTTTCATTGGGCCGCTGGAGAACGCTGGGAAGTGGTAGGGGCGGGTGGGGGGGGCGCGCGGTGCGACGCGGATGAA